TCTGTTTAAGGGTTGGGTTGAGAGGGAAGTGGTGGGAAAGAGAATAAAATGGCTGAAGCTAGTGGCAGAGGGAGTGGAGGGGTCGTCCAGAAGGGCAATAAAAGGTAGTTTTATAGGGACTGCAGTTTTTCTTTTTTTGCCCTGATTTTCCCCTCACTCCTGCACTGAGCTTGGTTGAACACATCGCAGTTGGTACGGTTCTAAGGTTTACACTTGCAGTCATGACACTGTTTATGGTACAGACTAAAAGTAATTAAATTCTGCTCTCCTTTTTGCCAACTTACACTCTCCTTTTTAATTTTGTTTCGCAGTTCTAACATAAAAACGTACAATGAATAACTTTATCTGAGGTACGTCGTGTAATTAATTTTTATTGTGACATGTGCCTGTCATCAGACATCAGAACTGTCACACGGTTTATGGCAATATAATTCAGACCACCTGTAGCACAATTATATAATTTTAATGTGATATGCAAAATTTTATATCGTGTTATATTTTTTTCCACTTTCGTATTGATTGGATATTTGCAAGCGATCATTTGCTGTCGAGATTTACAATTGCAAAGTTCCGCGATATGTGCTTCAAAGTTTAATTCTTTGTTTAGATTTAAAACCATGAAACTTCAGCTATTCATCAGCAGAATGTGAAATGTAAAATAAAGTACAAATATTCAGTCCGCACTGGTTATTTAATTTTTATATTATAGTGCATTGCACTACACAACATATGTAGTGTCGTTGTGTTAAGAGGTCCAAATCAAAATTATGACTTTATCTATCCACAACTCGACGCGAGTATATAATCGTACACTCTTTTGTCGATGACGGCGCAGATCATCCCGATTAATAGAACTGCTGATCAAACACAAGTAGCAAGAATTAATCCCGAACTGGAGGTATTTATTGCCGGTTGTACCCGCACCCTGTCTCACAGGCAGCTCAAGATCTGAGAGATCAAATATTAACTAACATCTTCAAGAGGGACGAAACACGTAGCCCATAAAATATGAACTACGAACGCCTTTCAGCTGAATGAGTCCTTAGATAAATGACAAGGAAAGAATAAAACGCGTATTTGAACATCCTTCATGTCCAGCTCTTGTTATGAAGTGTTACACACATGCGCTGTTAAACGGTATATCAAAATGGCGCGCGTTTCACAACTTGACTTTTAATAGACGGCAGTAAGCTGCATTACTGCAAGCATAATTTTATAATAGAGTGAAATGGGTGTGAACACAGGACCGTGTCATTTAAAGCCGTGCTTACGTCTGCTATTAAATGTGGTCTCCGTTTTACGGTCTCGTGAAACAGCTTCACTTACAGTGAACTTAATTGCTGAAGCTGATTCGTCTATTGGCATTTATACCAACATCTGCAAATATGGCTTATCGCTTTACAGAGAGATTCAAATGTATCTGAAGATATATTATTCAGATATAAATAATATAATGAAAATCTATAACTTAATACTTATAGACTCTGACGTAACAGTAATTAGGCACTTTATTGTTCTTTGTGCGGTGTTGTCTGTGAGAGAACGCCCATTTGATACTCAAGGCAGTTAATCTGTTTGTGACAAGTTCTGCGCTTGAAAAGTACTGTTTGCCCCATAAAACTCTGCAGTGCTGTATCCAGCATCGGACAGTGCGACGGCCCTTTCACGGCCAGAATTTGGACAGGACGGATGTGTATCTTTTTGCTAGTTTCTCGTCAAACCTCACGAAGTGCGCAACAAGAACAAACAAATCTAGGAATTACCGGGCAGTTTTGAAAACGGAACGCCGACACAGATGATGTCCCTGGCGCTGACCAGAGATCTGGGGGTGGTGAAGTGGATTCCCCGGGTGTCTTCTCCCCCAAACTTGCACGAGCACATGGAGTTGAAGGTGCAGGGGGCTACCTGCTGCCCCAGCGAGGAGGCGGTGCAACTGCCAGCATCAGAAGCCCGGTTATGGTCAGGCGGAGAGTAATCTGAAACAGACGAGAACAGGGCGTCACTTCGATTTGCTTGTGGTCGGTAATGACACACTTCGGCCTCGCACTGTGGCATTTCGTTTATCAAGTAGCAATAATTTACGTAGTTAAATGATAACTCAGCCATTCAACAAGAAATACGTTTCGACCTAAAACTCATTAACAAACTTTATTTTATAGATAATAAATACACTGGGAAAGGTTTTCATGAATATCGCAGTAATCATACAGTATGCTAATTAAAATTAAAAAAATACTTTTAGTCAATCACATACAAGGTCTGAATCTAACGTACATTTACCCACACGTTAAAAATTATGTGATGGTAGTGAAATTAACTCAAGATGTTTAAATTTCAAGTATTTAAAATATCACCATATATCACGAAATATCTTCTGTCTCTTTTATTAATGGATTGAGTCTCTAGATGAATTTGTCCTCGTAATGAGGACTAGTACAAGCGGCACGCAGTGAGACTAAGAATAGGTTCCTCGTGCAATAGCTCCACTAGACAAAGATTAACAGTTACACTAATGGATCTTCCTCCAGTGGACAGCGAGCATGTGTGTTCTTATACGCTTCGGTGTGATACTTAGTGTACAACATTTTTAACTGATTTAAAATATAAAGTGCTTTTGTCACTACGTTTCAATATTACAATTACGCGAATAATATTTAAATTCAACTTACAGAAACAGGGTCTGAAGGTCCCGACTTGATTGAACTCACTCAATATACGTTCAAATGGAGGGCTTTTGTGAACGCGGTTTGATACGACAGAATCCTTCTGTGCAGAAATGACACGATTTATGGACCCAGAGAAATTTATAGAATTCAGTGAAAGCTTAAAGTCGCATACGGCTTCGTGCGTTTAGGTTGAACACAGTCACAATTACGTGAAATGTTTGAAGATTAAAAGTCATGTCTGATTAATTTGGGTCTATACCAGCCACGTATTTACTTTATTCGATACAGGATACGAATAAATAAAAGTACAAAACATAATTATATATGAAATTTGAATGGTATTAAATTAATTATTGTTCACATATGTACAGAATTCTAAATCGATTAAAACATAAAATATGATTCAGAATTTAAAAACTTATGAAGGTTGCAATATACAGCGTAACATTTACACTAGAACTAACTTTTTAACCTATGTTTAATTTCTTTTAATGCCATAGGTTATGCACTTACACCAACATTTCGCTGTACAGCGTGTGAAGTGTACCAATGTGGAAATTCTACACAGTTACCACGATGAAAGACGATTTCCACGGCAGAGGGAGAGGTGCACAGATAGAAATACCCCCTCCTCAGAATGCTCGTTTCATGTTAACACGAGACAATGCATGTCGCATTCCTAGGATTGCTCTAACGCAGCGTCAGGCCAGGAATGAATGGAGCCCGAGCCTTCCAGTTGGTCCATTTCTGCGGCTTGTAAAATAATGGCGGTCACACGAACGAACAGCCAAGACTGATGACGTAATTAACCACTTGTCTATTTTGTGGACATTTTTGCTGCCAACTCGTTGAATTGCTGTTACAGCTCTTGACTGCACAGCACCGGGGGTATGTCTCGTATAATGGATATTTCCGGATATAGTCTTATTATATAAATATATATATATATATTTATTATTGACTGCAAATGGGTTTATACCCGGTAGCAGTGACCTACAATAAGATACAACACAGAACAAAACAATAAAAAAGGACACAACAACAAAAACAATAAGACACAACAAAACAATGAGATACATCAACACAATGAGACAGAACAAAACAATAAAAAACACAACAAAACAATAAGACACAACAAAACAACACATCCCACTCAAAATCAAACAACTCATAAGATTACAAAACCATCTAACCTAAAGTACTTAACTTAAAAATTAATACCACCCAGACATAAGACAATAACAGTAATGAATTACATACATCATGAACTGATGCACTCACACAACAATACAATGAGACACAACAATACTTCATACCACACTCAAAATAAAACAACTGACCAACAATACAAAACACACATCCACTAATTAATCACAATACTTTGAGTAGAATAAAAAATAAAAAGTTCGCCCTCAGTACATGAAAATTTTATCCCAAAGAACTACAACCCTTCGTCACTTGGAGACTAAGACACTTCACTTCCCTTATCACCATCTAATCCCCACTTAATAACCCCTAGCTTGTAACTACTTTTCTGACCCTCTTTCTAAAGGTGCCTAATTTACAGGGGAAAGACGCTAGCACGCCTGGAGGTAATTGTTTCCAGCTTCTTATGGTCCTATTTACAATGGAATATTTGCCTACATCCGTTCTTTGTTTCCTAGTCATAATTTTCCGAGTATGATCGTCCTTGCCCAGGTAGCATGGCTTTAGTAATCTATCCTCTATCGTTTTCCAAGCCCGGCCCCCCGTGTATGCTTTGAAAAGGGCGCACATTCGGGCTATCAATCTACGCTGTGCCAATGTTTCCCAACCAGATTCGTTCGTGAAATTTGCAAATTTAGCCGCTCTCTTCTGCACCCGATTTAGGGCTCTTACCTGCCCTTCCCTGTAAGGGTCCCAACACACAGCTCCATATTCAAGTATCGGTCTCACTAGCGACGTATAAGCTAAACGTTTCGTATTGTTATTTCCCTATTTCAGTATACTCATTACGAAATGGAGAGCCTTCCATGCTTTAATTAGTGTATAATTTACATGATCTGCCCAGCTCAGATCGCTGCGAATAAGAATTCCTAAGTACTTAAAGCTATTTACCTCTGGAATTAATTGATCCCCAAAAAAGTACCTCAGCCTATCGTCACCCTAGCTCTATTGAAGCTGACAGCTTTACTTTTACCTGGATTTATCTTCATTTCATTTTCTACCGCCCATTCCCATAATCTATTCAAATCTGTCTGTAACTTATCAATGTCACTACTATCCATTGTTTACCTGTATATTATACAATCATCAGCGAAAAGCCGTATAATTGAATCAATGTTTTTCCAAATATCATTAACATAAGCTAGGAATAGTAAGGGACCTAATACGCTCCCTTGCGGCATACCTGACGTTACCCTGACTTCATGAGATAGTTGCCCGTCCACTCTTACTCTTTGCTAACGTCCTAAGAGAAATTCCTTTACCCATATCACTACCCTCAAGTCCACACCGGTTGCAGCAATTTTTGTAATCAGCCTATCGTGTGAGACTAAATCGAATGCCTTTGAGAAATCTATTATAACCGCATCAGTCCTGATTCCCTCGTCCAATGAATCCGCAACATCCTGACAAACCGTAACTACTTGACTTTCGCATGAGTACCCAGGTCTAAACCCATGTTGACCCTCATATAACCACTCACTCCATTCCCAGACTTGCCTTAGATACCCTGCTATAACGTGCTCCATTTGCTTGCAAAACCACTGAGGTTAGACTGACCGGCCTAAAGTTCCCAACTACCGAACGATCTCCCCCTTTATAAATAGGAACCACTATAGCCTTCTTCCAGTCCCCTGGGATAGAATTGTTGTTCATCGTTATCTCCAGCAGTCTCGCAAGGTATGAAATCATTGCTTCCCCACTTAACTTTAAAATTTCCCCGGGGATGCCATCTGGTCCGACGGATTTATTTCTCCCGATTGCTGATATCCGTTTCCGAATGATATTGATACTAATGGTAAACGTTTTATCTGTATCTGTTGATTGGATTAGCTGATTATTTAGCTGATTTTTTCGTTCGCAACTGAATACCGACGCATAAGTTTTTAGGGAGTTGGCCTTTTCTATTTGATCTGTGATGAGGTCTCCTTTAATGCCCTTGATTGCAGGAATAGTTTCACTATTACCTTTACGTCTTTTAACATACTAGAGCAGGGCGCTCCTTTCGGAGGTCCTAGGGGTGGGGATGGGGGGGGGGTTGGTCAAGTTTGTAAAACGCAACCAACCTTGGTTAGTCCCGAAGGGGAGTTAGTT